TTTAATACTCATGTTAGAAATTTTGCTATTTCTAAGTAACTTACCGCGGAACCACAGTATCTCAACAGTTTCGGATTTCTCTCTCGCATTCATTTACGTATATCATTCAGCGGGCTTCACTAACCAGTACAGAAAACATCTACTATTTTTTTTACCGTTATCACAACTTCAGTGCGGATCCCAGAGTTTTTTTGCATTCGATTTTCCTGACCTTTATCATCCACAAAGCTCTCGCAACAATTGACATGTTGTTTAGAGTACTGTTTGAGGATTTCGCCTTCTTTATCGCTGTCGCGATTGCAGATTGAGTCTGTTCTCCATGAAATCTTTCAGGTAGCTGAGCTAAGGCTTCCTTACTTGGCTTGAGGTAGGGCGCTGGGAGTCAAGCGAGCACCAATCTTGCTGGTGTTCCTCATCACCAACGAATCCACCAACCAATAGAGTTGATAACTTTTACAAAAGAATACAAAACTGTCTCCTCTATAGCAATAAAAATTTAAGCTGAAAATAACATCACAATTGTTTTAACTGTTATTCATTGCCTATTTTTTAAAATATGGTACGATGTGAAATGACATCATAAGGGTGCTGAGATATGACCAGAATTCGAGACCACAAATGTGGTTGAAATCCGCGATTGCCCATACCAGTTGCCAGCGTGTTGATATGATGAATAGCACAACTTATGGTTGTATTTCACATCATGATCTGCTATGAAAAAAGAATGGGAACTAATTAACAATAAAACATTGTGGTTTCGAGTGCAGGTTCACTTTAAAGGGGTTCAATACCGATTTACGCTTCCTGGATCATTCTAGTTGATGGATGATTGCTGATAGCACCGTTAGAGTAAAACACTGGCCGAGAGAAAGGCAAGATGCTTGATTGGTGTGGTGGATACGACGTGAGCTTGGCTAAAGGTGATCGCGAGTTCGAAACCGAATTGAAGTCTTGAGTTTTGCAAATGTCTCAGCATAATTGTAGTTGGATTTCACATAGTACTGTTCTGTGAAAATAGAACGTTGTTGTAACACCTAGTAATTTTGCTTCTCACGTCACCAAAGAACGATAAACGATGTGTTGCTAAATGATGCCTGCAGTATTCTGTGGCCCGATATTTTGCTTAAACGCCTAATGAAGTTGTATCATCATAATGCTCTAAACCTAGAATTTGCTCCGTGGTTTTGCAAGATTCTCAGGGTCTTTACATTGTTGAAAAGTTTAGTCGGAAGACTCCTTTATACCTCTAACCTGGCCGAAGGCAGAAATTTCTTTTGAATGAAATTTTATTTAGTATAACTCAACAGTTTTAGCACCATAAAAAGCTCATCGTACCTGCTCTATCTACTTTCAAAGACAAGGACAATCAAAATCCTTGACTTTATAATTGGTGCCTGTTCTTATTTCATGGTATGGTGCAATGTGAAGTGCAACCACAAGGATGCTGAAATATGGGCGAAGCTAGCACGAGGTTCGTTTTGAACACTCGATTAGCCTTTTTGGTGGTCCACTTACTATCCACTACACCAACAAAGACTTTTGCTTTGTCCTTTCCTCGGCCAATTTGTTACTCTAGAGGTGCTACTATCAATTGTCAGTGAACGGAGATGAAGCGGGAGCACATCGGACCCAGTTAATATAAAACATCAATCGAAGTAGCAATATTCAACATTTATATACTGTCGCTACTTACCATATGAGCATAATTGCGGTTCTAATTTAATATAGTGCTATGCCGCGAAAAAAGATAAAGGCAGTAAATGAAACTCAAGACATTTTACAGCAATGTTATCTAAGCTAAGTATGACTTCTGGGTTTAATGGATAACATAAATAACTTCCAAGAATGCGACGAGTTTTGTCTCCTTCCGAGCAAATGGGTTCAGCGTTCGACGTTGATCCATATCGCAAAAGTGCGTCATGCGTTCAAAACATTCAAAACAATGGAAAGGTGTGTAAATATACATCAGACCAATTGAATGACTGGTGGAACCAGTCAGTGCTCGAGTTATTTTCTTTATCTTCAATTTCTGTTCGCTGTCTACTAATTTTCATTGTAGGGTATTATGTGAAATACAACCATAATGTAGCTGAAATATTTACAAAACTCCGGACCGCTGGCGTCTGCGGTGGAGACCGAACATGCTACTAACCTTTGCAGGGGATAACGCGTTCACCACCACACTATGTAGGTCCTTCGTTTCGACTCTCTCAGCCGTGTTATTGACCTATACGCGCTATCAGCTAACACCCGACAACACAACTGATTTGGAGAGCACAAATCGGCATGAACCTAGCTAAGCTGTTGCTATGACATAAATCACAATATCGCCAATTTTTATTAACTTCCTACTACTTTTCAATGTTAGGGTGTTATGTGAGATGTAACCATAATGTAGCTGAGATATTTGTAAAACTCCGGACCGCTAGTGACTGCGGTGGAAACCGAACATAGGGTAGTTTTATAGAGAGACGTTGACCCGTTGACAGGTGATTGCTGATAACGCCCATAGGTCAATAACACGGCTGAGGGAAAATATCTCAGCTACATTATGGTTATATTTCTTTTCTTTCCAGACTACTCTTGCTACTCTTGTTCTAATTTCTCGAAGCGATTTGAAAGTTGTTTACTTTAGGCACGGTTCGAACCAACGACCATGTGCATCTCGGAGCACTTTTAACCACGGCACGACACATGTTTCCATGATTGGATACTTAACCAAATCATCCGTGATTATAAATAACTCCTTCTTTATCTGTTATTTTTTCTCAGTCGTAATTAGCCGCTTGCTGTACTTTATGTACTTCTTATGTGATATTATTGCTTAATCAGGTTCTAAAGTTTCTAAATTTCCTCCTGGGTTCACCAAGCCTGTCCTATCTCCAGCATCCTGAAGTTGGTACCAGACCTGTCTGGGAAAACGTGCTCTCTGCAATTCAGGTTGAACCGCTCTACCGCCGCTACCTGACGGCTCCAGGGAGAATTGACTCGACCACCATTCAACGACATTCATGTTGAAAGAAAAATCCTCAAGAAGCAGTTTAATCCACACCCAAAAAGTTGAAATACTCAACTCAGTTGATGCGAAAGACAGGTCGTGTGAGTAAAATTGTGGCTTAAAATCGCCTGCGCCACATCTCTGTTTTTTGAGTAGCCCATTGTATAGCTATATGCCAGCAATTCGTGATCCGACTCCTAAATGATGAGAACAAATTGTATAAGATAGTAACCGACCACGAACCGTTTATAGCCTTGTGGACTTTTGCATGAGAAGGATTCATTTTAGATGCCTTTCTGTATAAGAGTATAATATTGGATTAGGGTGCTTCTATGGTGTATGGTGCTCCACCCCATTCTCCTTCGCTCTGAGGAATACGATGGCGGTGAGATATTAGAGGCAATAAAGATTTGTAGTAACTTCGAGTTAAATAAAGTGGATGAAGATAGGCGTTGAACAATCTCTGTGGAACGCGAAATAAGACCAATTCATTAAGCATCGTTGTTTGCATATTTGGTGTTTTCTGGGTTTAAAGATCACTCTTATCGCTGTCATTTGTGTGGGGATTTTTGCTTAGCTTTCTTCTGCAAGTCATGCGTAGCATACCGCATTTTGTTCAGTATTTTCATGAACTTTTTTCTAATAATGGAATTTTGAGTGTGCTTTTAACCTTTTTAAAATCCTTTATTCTTTGAGCTCCAGAATAATTTCATACACTTCAAATTCACTATTTTTTTTTGAACACTATGGATCTTCGCCATCAACGTAGAAAAAAGACCAGATTTCATCTACAAAAAACAGTGTCAAACTTCCTCCTAGTAAAAGTAGGGGATATTCTCTTGATTTCTCGTCTTATTAACTCCCTTTGTTTCTTCGTTAAATATTAACCGTATATTTCCTTAAATGAGTCAACATTTAAAGGTTTGTTAATTGGAATGCTCAGCTTCTTCTATAGCTAAATAAATTCTGATGGATCACCTATGCAATCACAGTTAAGAAGAATGATCTCGAATTTGTTTTTTCTCGGGATTATTGAAGGAAATTTGAGGCTCAGTTCCATTTCCTTTCTCGCTTAACGAGTTGTCAATAACAGTCATTTTGTTCGACTGTTCGATCTCCGACAATTTCGTCTCCGTTAATTTCATCTCAGTTGATTTCGTCTCTATCCATTTCTTCTCTATTGATTTCGTTTCTATTGTTCTCATCTCCGTGGATTTCGTTATCTTTGAGAGCTGTGGGGAACGCATTCGGTATAGAAGATCATCGAATGTTAGTATCTCCTCAGCTGAGACGTGATGAAAAGTGATAAGCTCAGGTGCAATCCATCGGCGACCCTTAAATCACTGATATCAACACATCAGAGTACAACATTAGTAATGTGACCAAAATAAAAGTTGTTGAGTCTTTTTCCGGAAATAATTGTTCAGGAGTATCTTCTCATTGGCGATATCGCTTAGACGAAAGGGTTACCACTGAATATCAATAATCACTTTCATTTTTTACCCAACACTAACAGATTGTGGTAGTCCAATGGTTTTCGCTCCACAACTCATTAGATCTATAATTATTGGGACCAAATTATCCACCACTGAAAAGTTGACCCAGATTCTTCCCTCTCTGAAAATCGAGTTACAAGGGGGAACTGGAAAAACAGCACAACGTCGTGATTACACGAAGTGACAACCAATATTCCGGTGGAAGGAGCCCACATATTTCATGTTTCGTAGCAATGTATCCTCAGAAGAAAAGAATCTCGGACCATCAGTGTTGCTATTTTTCAGACAAGTCTGCTTTCAATATGCCTAACCGGGAATAATGGAAGGAATCGTGGGCACGGGGCGCGGCAAGGAGACAATGGCCGCATCCGTGCGGAGATAACTCTCCGTAGAACAAATCACTATATGTATGATAGACTACAGAACTAAATGAAGGAAATTATAAGACCATCGGTATCATTAATGGCGCATGGCTACTGAATTTGTGATAATTAAGGGAGAGAACCTCATGATTTGATCACTATTCGGGCCAACTTACCTTTTTCGTCATGAATTTCGTTTGTTTTCTTTTTACAAAATATAAAACACGCAAACAGGCAACTAACACCCACCTTAAGTGGTTTATAGTAATGCCATTCGTCTGAAATCAATCCTCTAAACATGTAACTTGGGCGGTATGTGTTAAAGCGAGGTTGACCTTTTTTGTTCCGTGTGTCATGTGGGAAAATTTCGACATTTTGCAGGCATCTGGAAATAACAAGCAATGATCTCAGACTTTATTGTGGAACCAATTGCCAAGCATCTTCATCAACCAATGTTTTTAAGTTGTAGATAATAGCTGTAGAAAACTCATAAATAATTTGTTAGAGTCCATTTATAGCATCGTAAAGGTGCTTGAATGGACGGGATCTTCTGAAAGGTAATCGAACCAAAGCCCATTTGCATTGCAGGGTGTCCCCACTAAACTATAAACATCTCACTGAGGAAAACTGTATGCGTCATTTTCTATACCTGCCGATTCCAACGTCTTCATTAAAATCAATAGGGCATATTGTACGATCGAAAAAGGCACGTTGTAAAAATAGCTTTAGTGCTGCACGACTTAGAACATAACCAGCGCCACCGCCGTTGTAACCTCGTTTCTGAAATGGGACTTGGTTAAGATCGGTGCCATTTCATTCAATTCGTGTATATTATTATTTAGCTCCATAAGATCTGCTTATGACTAGCAGCAGTATGGTCTCGATTAACCCCAATCTATTGAATAAGCGAGTATTATAAAAGATTATTCATACGACCGACTACAGAGGAAAATAAGAACACATACTTACCAAATAAGGTCTTAGCGTGTATCCTAGGTAATATGGTTCCGTTGGATCGAGTGTTGCCAGGTATTCGTACATATGCTCCATGATTACGTAGGTGTCATCGTCAGCCTTAGAAATTGTATTGTTTTGAGAAAGGTATGAGGAACAAAGCTTTTTCCAATTGGCACTTAGTACCACATATATCATCTATGACATCTACAGAGTAACCACTTATATTTTTTGCATCATCGAGTTTTACAAATGGGCTTCTTTTAAAAATGGTAATTTCTGTTTTATTGACTTCCTGTACATTCTCCATTTTCAGCGTGTTTATTGTCCATGACGGTGATCTGCTTCTTGAACCGTGATAATATGTACGAGTTCCATTCAGTTTTTCTTAACTCGCTTTCACAAGTGGGCAGACTTAGATGACGTGAGCCACCAACACTACTATCCATCCTGTATGTGGTCGTTCAGATGATGCTTGCATTCTCTTGTTGTCACTATATCTCTTTTTCACTTGCATCTAACACTGTTTTGCATAACATGACTCTAAAATCTATACTTCTTTTCAAATGTTCGCTTCCAACGTGTCTGAGGTATCAGACTATGCTTTGTTGGTCTCTTTAAAATGTCCGGACATGGTCCATGGTCTCTCCTCTGTATCCATAGTCCATTACATCGATTGCTATGTTCAATCCATTCCAGACAGTGGTGCGAGGGGCATGTTCTTCGAATTCATAGAATTACCCTTCTTAGTTGTTTCCTTCGTTTCGTCTTCATCATGATGTTTTTCAGTACCAGACGAACCGTCGTCTTGGTTTGCTTAGAATGTGGTATCGAAATAGGGCTATTTGCTTATTTTAGGGCACCTTGCTTAGAATGTGGTATGGAAATAGGGCTGCTTGCTTATTTTAGGGCACCTTTAAAAACTGCGCTTTTGACACCTTCGTTATTGATAACATTTATAAAACTTGCTATTTTTCAGTATTGGAGCAACTGTCAATGAATTATCGGTACTATAGATCACACTCTGTAAACGATAATGCGGTCAGGTTCCTCTCACCTTGAAGTACCAATCGAATTGATCGGAAATCTGAGTAAAAGCATAGTGAAAGGAGATCATTGACTTCTGGAAGAGATATCTGTAGTCATCTGGAATGCGCTTCAACACGGTGCTGTGTGGAATTGTTGGATCTATTGGTACGTTGGCAAAAAACTGTCCGTGATCACAGCGCGGCAACCATGTCACGTTTACGGCCAATACCTAGACAAAATATCTAAATAATTAAACTAACTTAGACGAAAACATATAAAAAAGTAAGCGAGTCTGACCATAGAATCCGCTTTTCTAGAAAACTGTTCCTCTTGTCACTTTTTTTTGTTGGTTCAATTCCATGGCGAATATTTTTCAGTGCTATCTTGTTGTAAAGATGCTCGATTTCTATTGTAACTGAGCGAACATGTAAGAAATTCTCACCCTGGTGGCGTAAAATTTTGGCGATGTGAGCACAAAACACAACAGTCGACCACTTTTAGGAAGGCGTTTGGCCGCTTCGGACACATGGACACCTTCGTATGAAGTTAATTCGGAACTAAAATGAATTAAATGATATGAAAATGTATCCATCGGCCATCATCCATGGCACTGTTAGGGTAAAACGCTAGATGAGAGGGAGGTAATGTGATAGCCTAATTATGCAGTGCGTAGTACGTAAGCCCACGAGAAGGGAAGTCCTGGATTCTCAGGTTTGTAAATATTTCAGTACCATTCTGATTGTATTTCATACAATTTTCTACCATAAAAAATTGGAAAGTAGTGAATGAGAAATTGAACGTTGTAATTTTGCCAGCATCTTCAGCTCAACAAGGTTCAGTGCCGATTTTTACTCTGCAGATTGTACCCGTTGACTAATGACTGCCGGTACCACCTGCAGTGTAAAAAACCGATTACCCTTTTTGTATTCACCTCGGCAACAGCTTTTCTTGAAAGCTTTCTGAAGGTCCTCTTTTCTTTTAAAAATATTTTCGGAAGACTTGTTCGCTTCGCTAACTCGAAATTTTAACGATATAGCGTAAATGAACGAAACATTGGTTAAATGTCGCAATCAGTTTCCTGACAAGCCATCATGGAAACTACGGGCAGTTGTTGAAACGCAAAAAAAATCATAACGGAAACTGACAGAGAAATTTAAAAGTTATCTTCAATTAATAGTCATGTTGCAAATTATATGGAATGATAAGTATTTCTTTTTCTGCAACGCCAATGATAAAGGATAAAGGATAAAGCTCTCGGCGTTGATCAATCTTTGAGCGATGTGCCATGCATTCGACTTCATTACGTATCGTTGGAGGTGATTGAATGCATATCTGGCCTTCATAATCACTGATGGTGACCTACCGATGTATCGAGCCAGTGCTGCTATCCTCCCAGACAAGTCTGGTAACAATATGGAGACTCTGGAGGGATGGAAGGCTTGGTGAACCACCGATGCAGGGATCGATCCCATGTGTGTGTTGCAGTAGGCCTTCCGACCAATGCACCAGCGTCTGAGGCCGATGATAGTGAACGGAATCCATAGTGTGTCGTGTTTGGTAACATCGAATAGTTAAAGATGTTGTTCGTATTTTTGTTGAGCAAACGCGAGGTGTTATTATTCTTGGTTCACGATTAAGCTGACGTTTCGGCGGATTTGGCCTTCCTCAGAGCCTGGAAAGGTCAAGTTGATAGCAATCTACTCGGCCAGACGCCTCCATAACCAAACAAAGAAACGCCAAACCAAGATTTCAATCAGTTTTCCACTAAGTATGTCACGTAGAGACCAACTGCACAGAAATCACGTGGAAGTATAATGTGCCCCTCACATCAGAAAAGCAGTTTTATATACTGCCCTATATCACGCGTGATAATGAGGCATTCCCTGCGGTTCATTTTCGGATTTCTGGAATTAATCCAGAATGCCTCGAGAGTTTTTCGCGCCTGTGTTCTTGATTCGCGTGCGAGGATCGTGACACATACTTCGAAGTCGTCCCCGTTATGTCTCTGGGTCCTATGCGTACCTAGCGGGGTATTTGGTCTATTGCATTTATGTCTAAGGTGGAAGCACCGGTGACTGATCTCGGGCCGCTACTCTACTGTAGGTATGTAGACGACTGCTTTGTCCTTTGCTCAACACAAGAGGAATTGGACAAATGCTTCGAATTGTTAAACGCGCAGTCAGAGTATATCAAGTTCACCCGAGAAAAGCCGAAAGAAAAATGGCTTCCATTCCTGAACATGCAAATTCACCTGTCGGAGAATGGCTACATTACAAAATGGTACCGAAAGCCAAGTAGTAAAAACATTTTGGTTCATTACCTCTCCTCTCACCCCTCTCACACGAAAAGGGCGCTTATAAGAAACATGTTTCGAACGGCAACCAACGTGTGTACGGGAAGAGAACAGAGAGAGGAGTCCCGAAACTTGGCACGGCAAATAGCCATTTCTAATGGCTACGAAACTGTAGCTCAGGATAGGTGTAGGGAAAATCCTAGGCCTCCAGACAACAACTCTAGCGATAGAAGGGTCCCGTTTATCCTACCCTTCATCTCAAATGATATAAGTACGGCTNAACACAAGAGGAATTGGACAAATGCTTCGAATTGTTAAACGCGCAGTCAGAGTATATCAAGTTCACCCGAGAAAAGCCGAAAGAAAAATGGCTTCCATTCCTGAACATGCAAATTCACCTGTCGGAGAATGGCTACATTACAAAATGGTACCGAAAGCCAAGTAGTAAAAACATTTTGGTTCATTACCTCTCCTCTCACCCCTCTCACACGAAAAGGGCGCTTATAAGAAACATGTTTCGAACGGCAACCAACGTGTGTACGGGAAGAGAACAGAGAGAGGAGTCCCGAAACTTGGCACGGCAAATAGCCATTTCTAATGGCTACGAAACTGTAGCTCAGGATAGGTGTAGGGAAAATCCTAGGCCTCCAGACAACAACTCTAGCGATAGAAGGGTCCCGTTTATCCTACCCTTCATCTCAAATGATATAAGTACGGCTATAAATCGCTGCATAAGAAGGGCGGACTTAGAGAATTCGGTGAGCGTAGTTGAAATACCACCGAGTAATCTTAAGCGCCAGCTAGTTCGTAACCGACTATATGACCGTCTATGTGCAACTCAAAATTGCATAATTTACCCCAGTGGTAGAGACGGTGATTGCATGAGCTCGGGTATAGTTTATCTGATCTCCTGTAAGACGTGTGGTGACGAATACATTGGCAAAACGGGTAGACCCCTCTGTGTCCGCATGAAAGAACACCTAGCCGGCAAAAATAGACCAAATACCCCGCTAGGCACGCATAGGACCCAGAGACATAACGGGGACGACTTCGAAGTATGTGTCACGATCCTCGCACGCGAATCAAGAACACAGGCGCGAAAAACTCTCGAGGCATTCTGGATTAATTCCAGAAATCCGAAAATGAACCGCAGGGAATGCCTCATTATCACGCGTGATATAGGGCAGTATATAAAACTGCTTTTCTGATGTGAGGGGCACATTATACTTCCACGTGATTTCTGTGCGGTTGGTCTCTACGTGACATACTTAGTGGAAACCTCATAGGAAGCGGTGAGTGTGCAAAGCTGTGTTCAAAGTGATTGAAATCTTGGTTTGGGATTTCTTTGTTTGGTTATGGAGGCGTCTGGCCGAGTAGATTGCTATCAACTTGACCTTTCCAGGCTCTGAGGAAGGCGAAATCCGCCGAAACGTCAGCTTAATCGTGAACCAAGAATAATAACACCTCGCGTTTGCTCAACAAAAATACGAACAAAATCACTTGAACAATGCCGAGGTTAATAGAAAGTTGGTCGTGGCAGTTAAAGATGTGTTCCACAAGCAAATTTTGTTTTGAGACTTTTTTATTATAAACACTGGAAGGTACTCTTCTGTGTTAAAGGCAAGTGTGGCGCAGTGGTCGGAAGCTCCCCGCAACGCACAGGTGATTGGTCGCCGCGCGCGTCGCTCACCAAGCCTACCATCCCTCCGGGGTCGGCAAGTTGGTACCAGACTTGTCTGGGAGGATAGCAGTACTGGGTCAATACACCGGTAGGCCACTTGGAGCTATTGTAGAAACCAGATATGCATTCAATCACCTCCAACGATGCTCAATGAAGTCGAATGCATGACGCATCACTCAGTAGTTGATCAACGCCAAGAGCTTTATTCCTTATTTTTATTGATCTGTGTTAAGTTTCGAGTTTACAATCCAACGGGTCACCAAACGCGAAAAGTCGATCAAATTTTTCATCTAAAAGCTTTAACGAGAGGAATCATTGCAGCCCCTCTTATTTCTACTCCAAGTGAAATTTGCTATGTACCTGGGTCCATTCATCCCGGCGAGTTTTTGTTACGATGACGAAAAAGGCATATACGATACTTCTTGTGGAGTCAGTGGCGAAGAAAATCAAATAGCTTAACTAATAATACACCATCCTTTCTCAATACAAGTACTATGAGCACAATGAGCATCTTCGTTTGCAATGCAGAACTATGGTGCAGTCGGCGAGAAATTAATGGCCACATCTATTTGAAAACATGACCACGGTCTTTCGAGAATGTCTCTCACTCTGTACCTAACACGGGATCTTCTTATGTTGATCCTTACGTTCCCTAATAGCTGGAGATCACTTCAGCTTTTACACCGAAGAATGCTGAAGTACATTTTTTAAACGGTAGTACGTTTCTTGTTTATGATAAATGTTCCAAAATGTCGGATTAATATCCACTACCAAGAATGAGCTACTTGAGCATAGAAGAAAGATGAAGGTAGCTACTGCAACACATCCTACGCAGGTGGCAGTCAAGCAGTCAATTTAAGATCTTTATTTAACCTCAGAAAATTCCTACTCAGAAAGTTCGAAGAGCCGGAATAAATTGAAGGTCGACCACTTAATTAACAACTCGTGTTGTACGAGGAATTTTGACGTTAGTTGACTCTAATCTACAAGTGGTGATAAATGAATGAGAAAAAGGGCGGATTGAGTAATTTTGCAGTAGAAGAGCAGCATTGCCCTTGTGCGGACCTCTCAGAAAAGTAAGCAGTGAACTCTGGACTAGTCCAAACTCAGCGCTTATCTTCTCAGCTCGACATTCCACCTAGTGCTGTGCTGTGTTGATGACCCGAGGTAGAGATAAAACAATTCTATGCACCTTTGGAGTGCGTCGTTCACGTGAGCCGCCTCTATTCGTGGCTGGAGACATCAATGGATCAACAATTGACAACTATAGATGTCAGCATTCAGGAGGCGGGTCACCGCCATTGACAGCGATCTTGAGGGAAAGAAATCAATACGGGTTAAACGTTGTTGTAGAGTTCATGGAGGCGGGTAAACAAAGCATCAAGGTGTGTTTCAGCCAATTGATGAACACACTCTTAAGTATAGATCTGAAAAAAACGGTAGGTTAATTACAAAAACTGAATAGTTTTTCTTGAAGGAAAATCTCGCTTTTTCATATTCCAATTGTGAAATGAATAAGACCGTTTATGTATATGGGCATGACGTTGTTGAAATTTGCAGATCTCTGTGGGAAAAATGGTTGTCCTTTTGAACGTGGGATTTCCATCAGAAAGAGCTT